GTCTTGATTCACTAAAACAAAAAACAAAACATATTATGACTTAAATGTCCTTTTAATGTGGCTTCAGCTATTTGCATGAAAAATTTTGTGATGATAAACCTTTTACAAAATTTTGTGATGATTTTGTAAAAGATAAATTGGTTGTGGCATAAAAGAGTGCTATGGCAATATAGTTATTCTTGATTGCATATTGACCAACACACGGCTGAATGTTGTCTTTTGTCTGAATTGTTCTTCAAGTCTGTGGTAACAGTACATTTTCTGGAATAGAATAAAGTAGAATAGCGCACACAACCTTTACCAAGTTTTATATATATGAGAAAACATGAACAATAAAAAAATAATAACATTTTAACATCTGCTTTAAATTACATAATAAAAAGATGGAGAAATGCAGGGACAGAAACCTCAGAAAAATTATATATATATTCAATTGGTTTTTTTCTTATTATTCATTGAAGTAACAGTGGGGTGTCATATTTGATGAGAAATCCTGGTCTTTCATTAGTATTGGTGGGAAATCCTACACCTCAGCTATACCTCAAGCTCCCCAAACTGTGTCCTTTATTTATCTTCTTTGAAAGACCTCGTTTAAAGACCAGAATTATATTCTAAGTACTGGTTTGTGGTCTACAGTTTATGTCAGTTGGTCTGCATATAGGGAATTGTTTTGCACACAACTATGAATGTGGGAGGAGGAAATGTACAAGATGATTTATTGTATATGTAGTCGCTAGCAGTAAGGACAAAATTAACTGCATCTGTAATGTGTGCTGTGTTGCCAAGCGGTGACTCTCAGCCAGGCCAAAAGGTCTGTTGTCCATATGGAACCCACATCATTCCTTTGCTCTGTTCTCAGGCTCCTACTGGCACAGTTGTAGCTGTAAAAGGGGCGGTGGGGGGAGAATTTTCAGATAAACCTAGCTCTTCCCACCCCCTATGCTTACATCATAACTTTGAGAGATAAAATTAGAATAAAACTGCTGTTGAGAACAAATCTGGCAGGAAATGTAGTCAATTTTTTCATACTGAAGCAAGGTTAACAAATACTGTTGCAGTGCTATACTTAGCATTGTGTGTGAGTGTGTGTGTGTGTGTATGTGCATCTGTGTCTTTTCAAATTGTTATTTTTATGCAACAACAGAGGAATGGAATGATGACCTTACACATTACAAGCTATTTCTGTATTGTCCAGCAATTTTTAAATTATTTAGCTTTGTCTTTTTGGTTGTTGTGGGTTTTTCGGGCTCTTTGGCCGTGTGGTTGTTGTTCCTAACGTTTCACCAGTCTCCGTGGCCGGCATCTTCAGAGGACAGCACTCTGTGCTCTGGTGAGTGCTGTCCTCTGAAGATGTCGGCCACAGAGACTGGTGAAATGTTAGGAAGAACAACCCTCACAACACGGCCAAAGTTTCTCCTTTAAAAGCACCCAAGGCAGCTTACATCATTAGAAACACAATATTAAAAGCTAAAAATAGTAAATTATTCAAAAATTTAAAAATAATGAATTTAAAATGTTAGGTAAAAGCATTACTAAAAACAGATTTAGAACAAAACATTAACCATCCCATTTATTATCTTCAAAACAGTCAGTCAGTCACTAAGGAAAAGCCTACCTGAAGAGAAAGTATGACAGTAAGGGGTCGTGCAAATACAGAAATGTACATTCATACTTCTAATTCAATTTGTATTTTTCAATAGACTAGTGAGACAGAGGAGAAGGAAAACTCCAATTTCAAACCTCCACTGCCTTGTGGCTATATCCACTCATGGAAAAGGCTTCAGGAGTTAACCTCGAGGCAAAATCCGGAGCAGGAGTCCCGAAGGCAGCATGTGTCGTTCTGCCAGCTCCTGCAACATTGCTAGAACCAGTTGTATTGGCTCTTGCCTTTCCATTGGACCATTTCAGCAATGTGGAGAGGGGGGATCTGCTGCTTGGGTAACAGCCTATCCTCCATATTACCTTACCCGGGCTTCATGCTCTGGCGAGGACACTCCTCGATTCAGATCATGTTACCATAGTCTCTCGAGACTGAAGGATGCCTATGCTAGTGAGACAGACATTTCTACTCCAAAGGGTAGCAGTCTTATTCCACTGGATTACAATGACAACCAACGAAGTGTCTTGTGATACTTTTAAAGCTGGCATAAATGTATGTAGATGGACTGCAGTTCATGAAACCTTATACCAAATAAATATGCTAGTCTTTAAGATGCCGCAAGACTCCTTGTTAAATTTGCTTGTCAGATAAATTAAGGGAACTAGAACTGTGCTGCAGGTCATATATTGAACGCTTAGGCCACATATTAACCCTCAGGTGGGCTAAGACGATATTAGGGGTAACCTGTTTTCAGGCTGAGAGTTATAAATCTGGGGGAAAGAGATTTGGGGGAAAGGGATTTTTTCTTTTTACTCATGTACCTCATTTTCCTTAACTAGTGTAATTTTAAAAAAAAGATTGCAGTAGGCTGCCTCCACAGGCTGATCCATGCTTAAACACAGTTGCCCTTTGCAGAGTAATAGCCACATACTGTACAGTGCTAATGCAAAGACCCAATTCTGTCAGTCTAACTTTAGGGCTGAAAACTGGAAGACACTTTAGATTTACTTACCCAAAGCCAAGATCAAAGAAAACTTAACACTATTTTGTGAAATATCTTAAAAACAGAAGGGGGTAGCTCAGCAACCAAGCAATCTTGCATGTGAGGAAAGTGTTAGCAAAAATTCCTTCTTTTAAAAGTAGTCAAATCATGTCCAAATATTTAATGTTTATTTGGAAAGAAAAGGATGGGAGATGGAAGAGAAAGGTAAGGCAATAAACATATGGATAAAATAGTACATTCAATCTGTTCCATACTGTAGCAGAATTCTGGCTTTATTCCCTGTAAGTTCCTCTGGAACCTGGCTACTTTAAAATCCCATTATAGATTGTGTGGAAATAAGGAAAGGCCGGATCAAAAGAAGAGCTGACATAGCATGCTGTAGTCTGTACAACCTGTTACAGCTGATGAATCTCACCTCAAGCCACAAACTAACTAACAGTCATAATCTGCCTTCTAGAATAATGTAAGGAAAAAACTGCACTCTGTATGACACTTTGGGTTACTCTAAAGGAAATATGGTATAACAGTGTGATCATAATGGGTACATGGACAGAATAAGAAAGAAAATGGAGAAGGGGCTGCACAAAAGTCTTAGACCTTCAGTCTGTCTGTATTTGGAAAATTGTGTGGTACTTCAACCTTTTATTTTGAATTAAACTCATACTGTAATTCTGCCTTAGTTTCCCATTTTTTGAGATACACAGCGATACAGTCATTCAAGATGCAATTTTAGTAGTCTTTGATTTCAGTAACTAGTTCCTTGATGTTTAAAATTGTTTTTAAGATCAAAGATTTGTGTGGGACCTTACATCTAATAGCTAATTGTAGACCTGAGGAATCTAGCTGATGGGTGCTATTAAGTGGGGGTGAAAACAAAGGAAGAAGTACTTAACACCACTATTTCAAATATCTACTGTCAACAGGTTGAGGGAAGTAGCTTCTTGCCAGTAAATTATGCCTCTAATCTTCCTGCCCCCTCTTCTGCAAGCCTACTGGAAAGGAAGAAACCCATCAAATGACTTTAGTCTATGCCCTGAGGCAATTATAATGTACAGTACTGTATTTGGACTTTTCAAGGTGATTTCAGCAATCTCTGTCTAAAGAAGAGTTCTTAGACACCCTTTCCCTGCCATTTGCCTGCAAGAGAATGAGGATGAAGAACAGTTATTAAGAACCTAGATAGTTGTGAAAGTAAATACTGTTTTTATACATTGCGCATATATATGGTCCCTTGTACCATTTCTATTTCTGATAAGCCAGGAGAAAAGATGCACTAGTCTTGCATATCACATGTAAGAATCGTTTTTTAAATTACAAGGGGAATGATGTACCATTAGCACCTCAAATGGGAAAGAGAATCTGGAAGAAACTAGAGCTCCTGCACCCTGTTGCTTTGATTATGTCTGCCATCTGGGTTTAGTACACAAGATACCGGTTTAGATACTAATTCCAATAGCTTCAGATCAAAAATAACGGTCGCATTTACGAGGGCAAAGATGATGATGGATTATAAACCGCTGAGAATAAGCTCTTTTTCGTTGTTTTTGTTTGGCTTGTTCCCTTCTTAATGTAGGACAAATCATAAATCACTTGCGTGCCTGAGAGAAATGGGCCAGGCGGGGGAGGGAAGGCGGTAGCTTTGCTGATCATTGAGCTTATCTTGGCGGTGGGGAAATACTCCACTTTCTCTGCTACTCATCCTCTGAAAAATCTCTCCGATGATCTTTAAAATTAGAGGTTAACAGCCTTGTAAACAGACTCGTGGAAAATGGTCACCCTACCCTCCTCCTCCTCTTCGTTAGCCATTGAATCCGCAAACTCCTGCCAACACGGCGTTTCCCCTCCAAACTTCCTCCAGGGTCGTCATTGCAAAATGCTCGCAATATTAAACCTCAGATTTCTCCATGCATTTCGTCGCACGCGTTGCCTACGCCCACCGGTCGTCACTTGCAGCTTTGCAATTTAATCTTTTTTTAAAAAAAAAAATCGGAACGCCTTCCACACTGCACGGTTCTCTCTCGTTGAATTTTGAAGACTGCTTGAGGAAGAGAGAAGCCAAAGAAAATGGTTTAATGTTTTTTGTAAACCCGACCCACCGACCCCTGCCTCCCCCAACTTGGCTCTGTGTATGCAATGCAGCTGCGTTTGCACAGTGTGGGACGCGAGGAGGGGGGGGAGAACCCAGTGGCCGCGGCGGGACCGCGCGCTCAGACCCGGTGTGCTCTGCGCGCCAGATGTTCGGCCTGCCCCTGCTCGGCTCCCTCCGTGTGGTCATGCTCGAGCCCTGTGTGAATTGAGGAGATCTGATGAGTTAGCTGGTTGCTATGGTGACGAGCCGAGTCACGTGTCCCGGGTGCTGCTCCCGGCAGTTTGACGTCACCGACCACAGAGAGCGAGCGAGCGAGAGAGGAAAAGGCGCGCGGGGTGTGTGTGTGTGTGGAGGCTGCAGGGAGGAGGAGCAGAATCTGGGAGCGAAGGAGCAGACGCGCGCAACGAGCCCGCCCCAGCTTCTCCTGCACACAGGCACCCGGGTTAGGGCTGCTTGCCTTTTGGGAGCGCTCCAATGCCTGGACCTACCCAAACGCTGTCCCCAAATGGAGAGAACAACAACGACATCATCCAGGATAACGGCACCACCATCATCCCTTTCAGGAAGCACACAGTGCGCGGGGAGCGTTCCTACAGGTAACGCGCTCTCCCTTTCTCTGGGTCTCTTTGGGCGGGCGCCTACGTGTGCGTGGACACACATACAGAGAAGCTCGGGGATCTGCAGTAGAGCCGCGGAAAGGGGCGGAGGAGGGAGGGAGGGTTGCAGGGGATTGCATAATAAGAATAGCGGCTCTTTAAATCTAATCTGGCGTGTCTCCCGTGTTTAAGGGAGCAGCATGGTCGAGAAGCTGCTTGAACGGCGCTCTTGCATGGTCGAGATGGGAAACAAATACCAGCCCAGTCTTGCAGAGGTTTTCCTTCCTTCATCTCCCCTGTCTCCTTTTTTTGCTTTTGTTGCTCACTCACTACTCCCCAGCGTTCTGGCGTAGGCTTTTTAAAAATCTGTAATAACAATAGTAGCAGCAACCATGATGGTCATAATGCTGTCGATGCCATTGTCGGATGGCTGTTTAAATTTTTATCTTCGTAAAGAAGTCATTTGGCGGTAACGAGAGAGAGGAGGGGGATGTGCGAGAAGAACGGGTCTTGTGATGGTTGTATTGGTGCACCGCCTTGGTGTGCGGAAGGGAAAATGGAACCCTCTAGATTAAACTGCAGCCTGTGATGTTAAACCACCAGATTGATGGAGCTTTGTAAGAACTGCACACTCTGATTGGCGGAAAGCTTGACAGCAGAGGTCAAGGTGTCAGAAATATACTAAAAATTTCCTTCTTCAAATCTCGGGTTTTGGAAACGAGATGGGCTGTGAACCAGTCTCGAAAACCATACTGCACCTCCTCTCTGTGTTTTGACTCTGCCGTCTAATAGGAGACGCTGACCTTCCTGGCTCCTTTTTTAGTGTGATGCATTTTCATTGTGCTGCTTGCTTCGAGGAGGAGGGTGGCTATTTTCTTTGTCACTGTTCTATGCGTTTTTAATAGTGGCTTGACATGTCTCTTGGGCAGCAGGCTTCTTTCTCTCCCCTCACCCTTTATGTATTGATTTATGTACAGTATTTATTTATTTATTGCATTAACTTGCCTCTCAGTGTGTTCTCACAGATAAGCTCATCATGATTATTTGCATTGTTCAGTAATGATAACAGTGTAGCTGAGAATGCAACTAGTTTTGGAGGGCTGTTCTCTGCTGTGCTGTGTAAAAAGGGGAGGATGGGGGGAGGAGGAAGCCAGACATGTTTTCTTTAAGTTAATATTCTTCTTTCCCAACCCCTCCCCCATCAAATCACAGTGCTTTTTGTTGTTTCTTTTTAAATTCATGCCATGAAGCAAGCTACAGGAAATGAAACTGTCCCAAAACCGTTATAAAAATGTTTGATTAAGGTGTAGTTTTTAGTGAAAAGCAGAACTGGAGCAAAACAGAGTATGTTTGCTCAGCTGACTGTTAGCTAGCCTTTGAATATTGCTTGGGAATAGTATTACTGATTGCCAGCAGCCAGTCAAAAGTAACTAAGCCACAGGCTTCTCTTTTCTTGAGTAGGTAAGGTCACTATAATGTTTTAAAGAGTAAAGTGTACAATTTTCTGGTGGAATCCATAGAATGAGAAATACATTCTGATTTATTCTGCTTCAGAAGCACACCATTTTTGAAGGGCTATTAATGATTATGTCTTAATGCAACGCATTCTGGATCCAGTACCCATTAAAAATTGAGACACAGAATTCTAAAATTTCTCAGTACAGCTGTGTCACCCTTAATAGTTTTATCTTAGAAAAGATCCATTAAGATACTTTGTTTCACTAAAGCATGAAAACTGATAATTTTAGTTCTTATCATTGTGTGATGATTACCTAGAGTGAAGAACCTCCTGTGTTGGCTTCTAAGCTGATAAACCTATTTTATTGTATTAATCAATCTGTTGCAAAAAACTAAACTGTTATGTTGAATGCAACTGCTCTCAGTGATTAACCAATCAACTTTATAGACAGACAGCATTGCCCAGTCACAATGGGAAGGTGGATTTTTTCATAATCAGAATAAAACTAGGGGGTTCATTTCTAAAGACCTAGTTGAAAATGTTCCCATAACTACTTATTATAGAACTAGCTTGCTGTTCAACGTAGAATAAAAGCTCAATTTTACATGTGATTAACTGCAGATATGACATGTGAGAAACATGTGAGGAACTGCAGATATTCTGAGAATAGAAGCCCTGACCTAACTCAATTTCCAGTGCAGGATTCTTTTATCAAAGCATGTCTTGTTTTATAGGGCAGTAGGGTTTTGCTTCATTTCCTTCTCTCTGATGTTTGTTTAAATAGAATGTGGAGTGATCGCAGTTTTAACTGTTGCTTCTAGTACACTAATTGGAGCTATATGATGAGTGCAGTGTGCTTCATTGTGATGAGTTAGATGCAGATATAGGTAAATGTAATTGGGCTGGCAAAAGCAGAGTCGCTAGACATGGCAGCCAATCCACTCCTCTCAAAATGCTACTTGGAAGAGTGGGAATCCTTGTAGAATTGGAGGAATGGCAATGTGTTGGGCAGGGAATCCTCCCAAATTGACAACTTCTGTGAATGAAGTCTTTCTGTCCTCAGAAGGCAGATCGTGGATCCAGCCCACTATTATTTTGTGTAACTCATTTCCTTTATCTTTCTAAATATATCCAACTGAAAAAATGATCAGGTTAAAAATTTCAAAACACAGATCCATGAATTATTCAAAAACTGGGATCTAAAAGTGGTATATCATGTTTCACCATGGTGCATTCTTAGCAGCCACCATGAAATTGTCATTACCTCTGTTGGTTTGTTTCTCTGTAGTATGCCAAGATCAACTGAAATGGAAGCTTATATATGAAATTGAACACATAAAGTAGCAATTTGTGATATAGCAAGATGCCAGCTTGGATTATGCTGTATTATTTTCCCTATATTGACTTCCAAAAGAAGGTCAGTGCATGGCTGTGTTTTATACAGCCATGATGCAACTCTTGTAGTAATACTGCTTTACTTTCAAAGCAGTTGTGTGCAAGTTTACATAGAAATTAGCCCTATGTTTTGTGGGATTTACTCACAAAAGGATTTGCATAGGTTGTAGCTTGCTTTATGCTTGGTACTTCAGTTACACTGATCAAACTTTAACAATTGGTTCAAGAAAAAAGTGGAATATCTTAAGAAAAGGATAATTATTGAAATAATTTCCAATCCTGAGTTTCATATAATTCCTGAAGAAGTGTGCATACGAATTGGTTGCAATCACAGTTAAAAGCATCAGTTGGAAACTAAATAATGCCCTCAGTCTACACAGGAACAAAATGTGAAATGTTTGTCATTTAGTTTTTGTACCTTTTTAATTGCAGAATTTTTGTCTACTATACAGAAATTGAAACTTCAGATCACCTGAGAACCCAGCCCACACTCTCTCACCACATTTACCACAGCACCCCACACTGCCTCACCACCAGATTTGGCACTGAAATTTGGGAGCATGGCAATACGAGTACTGTGCGAAACAAGATTAATAGGAATTGTGTGCTTTGTCTTAAAGCACAGCCAGCCTTTTCACAGGCTTCGGGGATATGGTGCTTTTAAACAAGATGCATGTTCCCTGTGCCTTGTTCTTTAGGAAAATTTGGTTTTGACTGGTGACCATGATTTTGACAGTGAGACTGCCTAGTAGACCAATATGCCACATGCAATCTGTGGCCTACATAGACATGAAAGAATACTGCTGTGGTTCTGTATACACGATTGCGCCTAAGCACCCTCTCCCTGACTGTGGTTCTGTATAAAGTTACTCAAGAGTCCTAGTGAATTTAGTGTCATTTCAGAATACAGTAGTCTATATAGCAGTGGTTCTTAACCTTTGTTACTCGGATGTTTTTGAACTGCAACTCCCAGAAACCCCAGCCAGCACAGTTGGTGGTGAAGGCTTCTGGGAGTTGCAGTCCAAAACTCCTGAGTAACCCAAGGTTAAGAACCAGTG